TATTCTGTTAGCATTTAATAATTATACTAATTATATTTTAGATTTTTTATATTTAAAATTAGATGTTTATCTTGTATTTAATTATGTTTATCTGCAGTTAGTTACACGAATTCAGATATGGGATGAAATCGGATAGGGATGAACGGGTTTAAGAGTTTTTAAGAGTTTTTAAAAGTTTTAGMCAAATGCTTTATAATATAGTATAGATATAGATTTGTAATTTCTTTTTTATTTATGAAATTTAACATTTTTCTTTTTTAATATAAATTTATATTGATTTTTTAATTCTAGTTTATATAAAATCTTGGAAAACACAATAAAGTTTAATATAAAATTAAGAAAGCTTGATTAACTATAATAGTCTATGTTGAAAAAGCCAATAACCTTAAAAAAAATTAAAGTATCGAAGAACAAAATAAATATCAAATTAAAAATAATAAAATTACTATTTTTTTGTACTTTGTTTATTTATGTTATATTTTGCTTATTTTCCATTTAAAAGTAAAATAAACTAGTTTCATACCAGTTTTTGACCACATCCGTTATACCATCTCGATTTAAATACATATAGAGAGAGAGAGAGTGGGAGAGAGAGAGATGAATTATTATGCAACCCTTTACATTTGTACAACTAATACAGCTCAATCTCAACCGTCCATTTAATTTGATGGATATGTAATTTCATAAAAGTTTATATTGTTTTTTAATATAAAGTATTGATCATAATTAATAAACCATATTTATCTTAATAAATATTCAAATCATAATAAATGAACTCTAATCATTTCCATAAATATTTCAATTAATTATGTTGTATTAATTGTACAAATGTAATGGATTGCATTTGAAACGTCATATATATATATATATATATATATATATGGACTGATTCAAATGTTAACAAAGATTATTGTGTTAACTTTGTTAACCAATCTTCGTCATTGATTCTTACAATAAACGATTGTGATTAATCATGATAAAAAAAATTAATTTTTTAAATTTACAATTTCATAAAAACATATGTGAACAAAGGGAAAAGGGTATTTAGATAATTTTATTTTTTATGTAACTCCCATATCATTAATAGGGAGTTACAAAATCAAAAAATCTCATTATTTTTGTTAATATAAGAATCATATGAACACACACATACACACAGACACATATATATATATATATATATATATATATGAATCATTGTGTAAATACGAATAAAAATTGACATATATATGAACTTGGATTGCATAGCATTTATGAACACAAGATGAGCATAATAAGAATAACTGTTACACGAAAGAAAATAAATAAAAAACAGGTATAAACACAATATGAACAGTTCGTGAACAATAGTTCATTCGTTATGAACACATTCAGGAGCGATTCAATGTTGATATATACAACTAGTATATATATAAACACAATATAAACACTTAAAAGATTAAATACTTAAAATATTCTTAATAACACATAAACATGGCAAAGCATAAAAGTTTGGTAACTACAATACACAGAATTTTTAATATAAGGTCCAAATAGGTCAGGTCACTTTGGTTTGACCCAACAACTCTTATTTATTTATTTATTTTAATTAATTAATAACTAATATATTAAATATCATTAAAAACAATATTACTAAACTAATATTTTTAATTCACCTGAGTTTTTAAATTTTACTCAAATAAAAATATAATGAAGCTTGAATGCTTAAAATTCTACAAATATTTTTAATTATTTTGCATAGATAATTGCACAAATTCTAAATAACTAAAATACCTTTAAACAAATCACTTGGATCATCAAAAATCTCATAAATATCAGATAATAATCACTACTACCCTAAACCCTAAACGTAAATTGAAATATTTTAAATGACAATTAACTGATTAAAATATTTTTAATAAAACAATTATGTTATTTTATAATGGTATTTTCCATAAATAGTAAAGAGTAAGTTTTTTAAATTAATCGTTACTTTTTTTTTATTACAATTGCCAGAACAGTATTATAGTTTGCAAATCGCATTATGTTATTAAAAATTTAACTGTAAAAGAAATCGTTATATCTGAATTTTTTTATACAAAACTACAGTTTTTAGCAAAAATATATTAGCAAAACAGATAAG